CTGTCGTTTTGTTCTTCAGTCTAGTTGTGGTGGACGTTGCTTCACTGGCCCAAGTTGGCACCATCATTGCGCTCTTCCCAGGTGAGGCAGATCAGTCGCCAGCTTCTGGACGGCCGCTCACAGCGGCTGCTGGCTGCTCACGCTGGCTGCTGGCTACACACGGTAGCCCATGGCAACCCACTGCAGCAGGGGCTGCAGCAGGGGCTACAGCCTACCGTCGCAGGCGACTCATGGCAGCCCAGCTCCAGGTTGAGCTGTTGATCAGCATCTTAGCTGTAGAGGGCAGTGTCACTGGCCCTCATATGTGGGATCCGAACCGGGCCCTCTGGCATCCCAAGCCAGTTCTTAACCATCACGCCACTCGGCCAGCCCTGTCATCGATTTTTAACCCTCACGCCACAAATACCTCCAGTCGCAGCTCTGTGGCTTCACAAAGTGTCCTTGCTACAGTGTCAGGGTCACAGGCTCAGGGACCACATCTAGCACAGGTCCGGGACAGGGGCCTGAGGCCCTGCACCAAGTTCAACACAGGGGCCCAGTGCGGTCCTGGGTTCCTCTCCGTGTGTCTGAGCGGCATGTTCGGGGGGACTCTGCGTGGCGCACAGCGTGGATGTTGGGCAGAGTCCTGGCCGCCAGGGGGCCTGGGGACATGCCACCCAAACTCGAGGTTTCCAAGGGATCAGCCAGCTGGGTGATACAGGAGGGGAGTGTGGGAACCAGAGTGTCACCCAGGAGGCAGGAGGCTGGCCACTGAGGACAGTGTGCTAGAGGACAGGTGATTTAAAATGTCACAGTGATGAGTGGTGTAGCAAGCGACAGATGGCAGATGGAGGAAACTGTGAGGAAAGAGAGAGAGAGAGAGAGAGAGAGAGAGAGAGAGAGAGAGAGAGAGAGATACAGAAAGAAACAAAGACACAGACACAGAAATACAGAGAGAGATACAGAGAGACAGACAGAGACAGACAAAGACAGAGGGAGCGCCCAGAGGAACCAGCATTCTTTAGGACCCCAAACAGACTGAAACGGAGTCGACAGTGGCTGCTATCTCCATGCTTTATGAAGACTGAGTGATGGGTGCAGTTCTTTTGGCACAATATCATGCTAATAATAAACATTCGCATCACTGTCCCTGGGGTACCAGATGTGTCCCATGTCCAGGGCCCAGTGGATGGTCAGAGTCAGCTCTGGGCCAGGTAGGACATGAAAATAGGGCTTTGGAGCCCCTAGTCAGGAGGCCGCGAAGCCCCCTTGAGTGTAGCCTGTGGAATGTGGGTGCTGGGCCTGCCTGGCTGCATGCAGGAGCGCACAACTTGGACCAGGTGGCAGAGAAGGGTTCTCTGGAACCAGGACGGAGCTGCTTGAGTAGAACCAAAAAAAGTAAAACAAACCCACAATGTCTGAGAGGGAAAACCCAATGCCTTTGATTTTGACAGAATATAACCTTGGAGACACAGACTGGGAAACCTAAGGCAAGAACACCATGAGAACACCGTGCCCAACTGTAACTGCACCGTTTTGAAATCTTTATGTAAAATGGATGAAGGCTTTCTTGAGCTTTGTCCCCAAAACTGATTCAGGAAGAACTAAAGTCTTCCAGGTTTTGTAGGGTAGATGGGACACTGTGTTTATTCCTGATCACTAAAACTTAAAGCGACAGTGAGCACATGAAGCATGAACAGGGGCAGCCAGAGGACAGGAAGGGGGACAGCAGCTGGGGGCAGTGAGCATTCAGAGGCAAGAGCTGAAGGAAGGCGCCCCCACCGAGCAGCTGCCCCCATGGGCTCCGGAACATCCCAGGAGACACAGAAGGCAGGGTCTGGGGTCAGGGTTCTGGAAAACACTCAGACAAAACAGTTACATCCTCAGACCCCAGCCATCCTCTGCCTGCAGGAGGTGACAGGTGCATTTTCTGGATAAGAAGACTCAGAGCTGTAAAGACACAGGGTGCACAAGACAGAGAGCTGGGACGGCACCACTGGAGTCTCATTCTGGGCTGGGGCCGCACCCGGCACCCCCTTGCTAGTGGATGTTGTTGGCCTCTCAGTGGAGAACACAGACTGCAGCTGAGCAAAGCCTTGTGGGCCTGCTCAGCATCCGGCAGGTTTCAGTGCCCCATTGTAGGGGAGGGGACCTCAGTGGCAACTGAAGCCATCAGCGGGAAGTGCTCCAGAGATTAGAGCAGGCGGAGGGAACGGAGGCTGGGAGGTCTGCCCATGCTCGTGCTTCAGAAGCATCACTCGCCCTCTGTCATGTTCTCTGCTAAAACGTCTGTCCTGCTGGTCAGAGTGTGCTGGAGGTCCTAGTCATTTGGGGCACAATCGCACATAGCAGTTTTCATGAAAATACGCACAGAGTGATGACTGAATGAATGAATGCACCCGCCATCACCTGAACTGTCTGAGCATCTCTGTAGCTTCCTGTCTTTCCTATGTAGGTTCCTGCTGTCATTTCAGCACCTGCCAGGCCCGTGCACCCACCTCGGCACCGAGAAGAGGGATGTACCTTTGTCCTTGTGCAGATGGACCGCGGCTAATTCTGCTCGGCCGTTGAAGTCCTTGTGCTGCAGCAGCACCTCCTTCACAGCCTGGTAGCCGTGCAGGACCACAACGCGATAGGGGCCCAGGTATATGGTGAACACCGGCCCGTACTGCTCTGCCAACTGTCAGACCAGCAAGCAGAGAGTCAGGCCACCGGGGCCTTGGGAAGAGGAGGAAGCCCAAAGCCATTGCTGTGGACCAAGAGAACCCAGAGGGATCTAGGGAAAGAGTATCCTTGTCCAGCCCGGCTTGGGAGGACCTTCTGCAGAAGGCTTTCTTCTGAAGGGAGCCTCGCTCCAGTGTGCCTGCGCACATGCACACCTGGCCACGCCCACCTGGGTGTGGCTAATACCCCTCCTGGTGGGCCAGCTTCCAGGTCCCTCCCCTGAGGCCACTTTGCCCACATCTGTCCTGTCTCCTTCACTATTTGCTGTCCCCAGTCAAGGTCCTGGGCCCCAGTTTGCTGCAGGAGGACCCAGAGCCCAGCACCATCCAATCCCAGCGAGCCCGCGGAGCATAAAGCACCGTCAACACCTCCATTAACGCAAACACTGTCCAAGCCTGCCCTGTGCCTTGTGGCGTTCTCTTATTAATGCATTTAACAGACTTATCAACTCGTTTAATGTTTACATTTGTTAGCTCATGGATTGCTCCCGACAATCACAGGAGTAGGTACCCGGATGGTTTGCATAAACACTTCACTTTTCACTCTGCTCTTGGACATCTTCAGAGGGTCTGAGTGAAACCCAGCCAGTGTGTGCCCGTTGCTAATGCAGGGCCAGACAAGATCATCCACAGCCACACTGGCCTCACCAAGCCATCCAAGGACACGGCACTTAACACTCAGCGCAAGCAGGCCCCCTGCCCCCAGGGCCAGCCAGGGCCAATGCCCATGTGAGTGCTCCATGCCCAAGCTGTACCATTAGGATACACTGAATATTACTCTTAGACACTACTGTTAATTCGGAACAATTTGTCTGACAATAAGTTGAATGCACACATATTACATCTAATTCCTAAATTCTCCTCCCCCAAATCAACACTATGTCTCTTACTTTGAATAAGGATTTGGGAATATTATTGAAGTCAATCTGGAACACATTCCCGATGATGGGCAGTGGGAAGGGCCCGGGGGGTAGTCTCCAGCTGCTGTAGACCTGCTTCCAGAAGGAGATGACCAGCAGGCAGGCCGCCCACACCAGCAGGGCCACCGTGATGCTCAGGGCAGACATGACACCGTTGGGGGGGCTCGGCCGACTTCTGGGGACACTTCTTCAGAAAGGCAAAGCTTTTATAATGCACCCTTGAGAAGGAGGGTGACCAGCCAACCTATGCCACCTGCCTTTTCCTTTGGCCCAAGGTCCTGGTTTATTATTAGCTACTGTTTGCTGACATTTCAAAGGCTGATTCCTGTAGTGATTGCCCCTTAGAAGCTTCATCCAGGCCTGACAATGTCTGGGCTCTGTCAACACTGCTGACACCTGCACCAGTGTCGGTGTTTACATAGAACATTCTAACCTGTAAAGAGTTTTTATAAAAATTTATTCAACGGAGGATATACCTGGAAGCAAGATCTCAACAGACTGAGAAAAATGTTTAGGCCTGGCATTTGGAATTAAGGAGGGTCCATAAGGAAGTTTAAATGGAGGTGGGAGAAAGCCAGTGCCGGGGTGGGGGTTGTGGGGTGGAGGGTGGGATTACAGGACAGTTAACAAGATCATGTGCTCTCCTGAGGGTGGTTACAGCTCTGAAGGGTCTGAACAGAGGATCATTCTGGTATGTCAGAGGCGTGCTCACCTAGAAACACAAGAACAGTGGGCAGGGCTGGCTTGAGGTGAAGATGAACCTTTTACTAAAGAAGTTACAGGCCTAAAGAATGACTACCTAACATGACCTGCCCAGTTAGGAGTTTATGACATCACTTCCAGTTAGATTTATTACAGCACCACTTTTTCATCCACATCAGTAAATAAAGTCCAGGATCACCAACCCACAGGTCAGAATGTGGGCTGGGGGACTTGAACCCGGAGGCCAAACAAGTCCCGGGCTCGTGCTGCCTGTGCCGCTGGGCCAATAGACCGACACAGGAGTTGGGTCACAGAAAAAGCGTTTATTATCAGAGCACCAGTGGTCTGAGAAGGCAATGGGTTAACGCCTCCAAAAACTGCCCTAACATTCTCAGACCAGCCTGGGATATTTCTGGGAAAATCTGGGCATTCCTCCAGAGGCTACGTGATGGTTCCGGGGGGTCTGCATAGAGCCTCCCCTCTGGCGATGTGGCTCTCCTACCTGGTCACCAACCCAGGCACAGTGACATTGGTAACCTGGAAAAGATGCTAGGCCATGGAGATTGTGATCAGTAAGCATGGGGTACTGTGATCAGTAAGCAAGCATAAGTTTCAGGATAATTATCTAAAGCAGGAAACTGGGACAGGGGACATTCCAAGCTCAAACCACAGGGAGGGGGTTGATCAATTGTTAAGCTCTAGGGCAGGGAAAGGCGAGGCCAGGGACATTGCAAGGCCTCTTTTGTGGGGGTCCCAACCGGGCCCTGTTTCAGACTGACCTGCCTTTGACACTGGTTGGACAGGGGCTGTTAGGGCTATGTTTTCATGTGTTGGTCTGGGCTAGGATTTTTGTAAGCCAACATCAGTTACATGCCAACCTTTCCGGATCGTGTGGTTCAATTATCTGAACATCTGATCGGTATCGTGGCTGCTCGCCTGCGGGTTGTGAAACAATCCACGAGGCAGGTAGAAACACAGAAGGAAAATCTATTAAAGCAAAAGGAGGGTGGGCTCGGCAGAGTCTGTGGAGACTGTTTCCCCAAGTCTTTGTTTCATCTGAAGTTTTATGTTTTCTAACCAGGGTGTAAATTGCTTTGGCCTATAGTGGAATTTTCTGTTGCGTTTGTCTTTGTCCGCTGGGATGGGGGAAGGTGCAGTTAAGCTGGTTATGACAATCTTTCATATGTTATGTAAATTAAGTCAGAGCCAGGAGCGGGTCCCACACAAATGCCAAGCCTCTCCCAAGTCACAGGGTCTGCATGGCCCAAGTAAACAGAACCATTGAAACGGGGACGCATAGTAACTGTATAGTAAGGAGAGTCATGAAGGTTTGGCAAGGGGCAGTGGGGCGGGCTGCAAAGAACAGAGAAATCATTTTCAAAAAGTCCCAAGCTAAATTATACTTGTTAAATCAACTTATGCCACAGGTTCAAATCTCAAGAGAGAAGATTTAGTGCCGCTGTTACAAACCCTGCTGTTCTATCAGTCAGGTTTGTGTGGACAGCCTCCAATAGTATCTGAATCACCAGCAGCCAAACTCATAAGGCCAGAAAAGGAAAACTCAACATCTGAATTCCATTCCACTTTGTCAAATCACCTGGCAAAATTCAGTGGAGAAAAACGGGCAGGAGACAAAGAGTTGACCAATTTTTAAAAAGTTAATCTCTGATTATAAAAAACATATATTTTTATTTTATAAAATTAGGAGACAATCTTTTTATCAAATTATAGAAAATTACATTAGGATTTTTATTGGATTTGCTGTAAGTTGATTAGTTAGTTTGGGTAGACTTTCTATTCTTCACACTATCTTTGTCTGGAAACAGCAAAGACTTTCACATTATCTTCTGTGTCAGGAATTACTCCTTCACACAGGCCCACTTCCAGCTTCCCATTAGAGTTGTTTCTGGGTATTTTGCAGAGCTTTTTGGTGTGGGGTTAGAACTGTTGACCTAAAATGTAAAAGGCCAAACTGAGAGGCAACACGCATCTATTTAAGATCCAAAAGAGTAGCGGCTGGGGGTCCAGGGAAGGAGACTGCCAGGCAAGGACTGGGGGCTTTGTGAGAAGGAAGGGGGGCGATTACATGACAGAAGGAAGGAGTTTCTGTGGGTACAGATAAGCCAACAGTGATGCTAATTCCGGGGAAGTCTTTAATTTTCAGTCCTAGTCATAATGTCTGCTTCCTATCTCTGCAAACAATTGTTTGGGACACAATGCTACTGAGACCCAGTGGAAAGGCCACTCTGCCTGTTGTGATGCCCGAAGGTCTGAGGAGTGAGATGAGCCCTATCCAGGCAGCTGCTCTGGGAGGGCAGCTCCTGCTCCCTTTCAAGTAGCTCTGTTTGTATAATTTTCTAGAGACTAAAGAGGATGTTTTTAATTATCTTTCTAACTGGTGATATAAGGGAGATCTTAAATTACAGGTCATAATTTTATGCTTTTTATAAGTCATGCGTGTTTGTGCACCATAGAAATCTTTGTGTGTGTTGAAAGATGAGAAGAAAAAAAATCACCTTCTATACTTTTATTTACATAAAAATAAGACTGTACTCCATACACTGAATTTCGATCCATTTTTTTCTTAATTTATTAGCAACACAGGCAAGCCCTTGATTGTTCTGCATAGAAAGTGCAGCCACATGACTGGTGCTTACTTGTGAGCTCTCCTGTATTTTGAAGGGAGTTGGCATCAGGCAGGACTTTGGGGGTCTTTGCTCCCCTCCAGCGTTTTGCACCGAAGCTGGGAACTGACACTGCAGGCCCTGTCCCACTGGCACTTTCTCTGAGCAATGGGCGTGAGGACAGGATGTGCGAGTGGCAGGCAGGGCTCCTGGCTCCCCTGAGAAAGGCCGTACCTGCACACGGGGATCGGGGTGTGGAGGGAGAAGCCAGAGGGAAGACCACCGGTGCCGCTGTGGTCTGAGAACCAGGCCGCACTCACGTCGATCCTCTGGCCATAGTGCTTTTGGACGCCAAAACTACATCAAATTCTAAATACGCAACACATGTCGTCGGAAGACAGTGAATGACATTTTTGAGGATTTCTTTTCAGAAGCAAGTCTTTTATATTTGTCTTGCATCTTATTCAATTGATAGTACTTGTCTGTGTGTCTCATGTCTTTTCTGGTCCTCTATTCCTGTATTATGTGTGAGTGTGTGTTAAGTAGATATTTTCTTTTTCTTTT